TAGTGTGAATATACTTAATGCCACTGAACCATACACTTGAAAATAGTAAAGATGGTCAATGTTATGTTATGTGAAGTTTTCCACAGTAACATTTTTAAAAGGCTGTACGTCTACCACCACCTTCATGACAATAACTTGCCTTGATTGGATTTGAGCCTTTTCACTTGCCTACATGAAAAATGGCTGAATCCTGAATAATTTAAAATCCTGGGTAAATTCTGGATGCCATCAACTCATCCGTGTATGGTTATGGTGGCACTTTGGGGTCAGAAGGGGAGAGGAGATATGGAATAGATGACATCTGTATTTGAATGTCCCGGAGGTTACTCAAGGTGGAGATGCCACCAACTGAGACATCTGTGACTCTAAAATGCTCCCCCAATTCTCATTGTGGTCATTACTGTTACCCTCATAAGATTTGTGCCCTTGAAGGAGGAACATGAAAACCCATGGGTTGACAAAAGAATGACCTCACTATGGTATCTAACCCACTGTTATGTCTTCATCGTGAGTCCAAGGAAGTACCCTTTGCCCCCATAAAAGGAAAATCTAAGACAGATAGGAGGGTTATCACATTAAATATCTACTGGTTGTATCTTTTCTTTTTTTTCATGAACAACTACTCAACATCACTCAGCATCAGGGAAATCCAAATCAAAACCTCAATGAGATATCACCTCACACCAGTCAGAATGGCTAAAATTAACAAGTCAGGAAATGACAGATGTTGGCGAGGATGTGGAGAAAGGGGAACCCTTCTACTGGTTGTATCTTGAAATAACTATCGTAAGAAAGCACTTGGAATGCTGAATTGTCCTGAGTGGGTTCCTTATGTCGGTGTTTTTGAAAGTGTAGACCGGGCACCTGGGTGGCTTGGTCAATTTAAGCGTCTGCCTTCGGCTCAGGTCATGATCCCAGGGTCCTGGGATGGAGCCTTGCATTGGGCTCCCTGCTCCACGGGGAGCCTGCTTCTCTCTCTCCCTCTGCCTGTCCCTCCCCCTGCTTCTGCTCTCTCACTCTCTCTGTCAAATAAATAAATAAAGTGTAGACCACCTGAGTTGGAATTGCTTGGGGCTCTTGTAAAAAGAGACACAATCCAGGGTTCTACCTCAGACATACTTAATCAGGATTTCTGGGGGTGGAGCCTGGGAATTTGTATTATTGACAAACCCCTTAGTGATTCCTACTGACTGAGAAACAAGAGCCTGGGGCCAGCCCAAGTGAATTAATTAGGAAGCCTGGGACAGACAGTGGCCATCTTGGGTAGCCACCATTTTGGTGGGAGAAAAACCAGTGGTGACCACCAGGGGACTGAGGTGTAGTAGTAGGGAATTGGCAAGCAGGAGGCTTGGCTAACCTGATCATTTCTTTAGTCTCAGAAGGGGCAGATTCTGCCTCCTTTTTGCTAGAGTCCAGAGATGGTAGTTTTTGATTGACATATGGTGTGCAGGGAAGGCAAATCTATATTCAGAGTATCTGTTTCAGAAGAACAAAGTGTTTCCCTTTCCATGATGGAAGTGGTTAAATATAATCAACCTGTTGCCAGGTCACTGGCTAATCACCTTAGAGAATAGTGCCATATCGGGACTCAGTGTTTGGTCTTTGCTGCTGGTGGACTGAGCACTCAGTGGTAGCCAGGCCAGCGTCAGTGAGTGGAAGCCCGTGCATAACCTCCCTCCCTGCCACTCGGACCCACCGGGCCATGGCAGCAATGGCGGAGGAAAGAGCCTGACTGGTGCCCACAAATGGGTCATGCCGTCAACTTGGTTATTTAAAATCCCCCTCTGCTGAAGTTACCCTTTGGTGAGCATTAACATGGGATACAAATCTCTTCACATTCTTTAGCCATTCAGAGAAATCTATCAGTATCCCTCTTCCTCAAACCTCCTTGGCACCAATTTTTCAGTAATGTTCCTTCCAAAGTTCCTGACCATCCAGCTAAACCATGTTCCACAGCCCATGAATTGGTATAGACCCTCACCTTGTCATTTCTTGTGGGCAAAATGCACAACCAGGTGCACTGTTCCTGGTTCTGCCCCTGGGAGGATTTCCCTTCACCTGTCCTCAGAGATGCTCCATAAAGGGACTGTCATGCTTCAGTGTCCATTTTTGGGCTTCGAACACAGTTTTCTGTAACCATGACATACCCTCAAGACCCCGAGACCAACCAGTGAGGTTACATAGACTTTATTTCCAAGAACAAACAAGGTTCACAGTCAGAAATAAATGGGTAGAGTCTGCTCTGGGACACCTATGTTCATTCAGCAGCTGTTTCATGAGTACTTACAACATGGACAGAACGGGTAGTGATGGGTCCTATCATGGACCACTAAGGACCAGTTCAGGAAGAAGAACTCAAAGGAACCCACTTCCTGACATCAACAGCAATGAGACAGAATGAGTTGAAGAAGCCTCCTTGGTGTCTCTCTTCTCCCACCCAAAGCCCCTTTGGTACTCGTGGGAGGTGGGTACCAGTATTAACTTCATGCTGGCCTGGGTCCTCGAATGAATGATGCTTGTTCCTGCCGACACCATGAATCCTAGGCGGTAATGTGTACATTCCTTGCCCTCAGTCACTCAAGCACACTGTTACAGACAGCTTTCCTGTCTTGATGCCTAAGCAAGATGAGAAAGGTCTAGCAGTTGGTTTATTCATCTTCCATGTATTTTAAGAGTTGTTTATTAACCTACTGCTGTGAGACCTAACTCATATGCAGCAAGGACTATCACCCCCTTTGATCTGCACCTCCTGGTTCTTAAGATACCACTCAGGGTTATCTACTTTGTGCAGGCTCCAGATTTCTGGTTTCTTTCATACTCTGCTCTGTTTAACATTCTGATCCTTCTGTTTGCCATTTAAATAATTTCCTATGGTTGTTTCTTTCAAATGCTGAGGAGGGTTTTAGGCAAGCATACATTGCAGCTTAAAAAGTCGGAGGGGGAGACGAACCATTGGAGACGATGGACTCTGAAAAACAAACTGAGGGTTCTAGAGGGGAGGGGGGTCGGGGGATGGGTTAGCCTGGTGATGGGTATTAAAGAGGGCACATTCTGTGTGGAGCACTGGGTGTTATGCACAAACAATGAATCATGGAACACTGCATCAAAAACTAATGATGTAATGTATGGTGGTTAACAATAAAAAAATTATTAAAAAAAAAAAAAAAGTACTTGAGGTATAAAAGTGGTATATTGTTTTAGTTAAGCCACAAGTAGTATCTATCTATCATCTATCTATCTATCTATCATTTATCTATCATCTATATCTATCACCTATATCTCTCTATCATCTATCATCTATCTATCATCTATTTATCTATCATCTATCTATCATCTATATCTGTCTATCTATCATCTATATCTATCTATCATCTATCACCTATATCTCTCTATCATCTATCATCTATCTATCTATCATCTATATCTATCTATCTATCTATCATCTATCATTTATCTATCTGCCTGTCCATCGTCTATCTATTGTGTTTAGGCTCAAATACACACACACACACACACACACATTATGTTTAGAGTAAAGTATACACACACCTAGGCACACACATTCATGGCAATTCTGTTACCATGGAGACAGTTCTACAATGGCTTAAAAATTGCTTAATGTATAAAAGTATTAAAAGACTATATCCAGTAGGGCACACACAGTTTCACTAAAAAAAAAAAAAAAAAAGACCATATTTATTCCTCAGGATCTGGGTCTTTCCCATGAACATGCAGTAATGAAACTTACAAAACTCTCAAATTTAAGAAATTCAGTGCCCCTACTGACCATAAAAACCTATTTGTAGGCATTGAGTCATTTGCCTGTATTTAAGAAGTGTTTGCCAAATTATTGGTACTGCTTTTTTATTTTTATTACTGCTACTAGCATCCTGTTGACGGTGGGCAGTGAATGATGAGGGTGAAAGCAGTACAGAGAGATGAAAAGGGCCCTTGAGATCATCTGTGTGTGTGTCATGGCCATCCATCCAAGACAGGCCAGTCACTTCCAGGTACTTCCCTGGGTGAGTGCAATAGCAGTTTTCACTGAGGGGTGTCATGGACAGCCCCATGGTCAGTGCTGGGCTGGGCAAGCCCGGGCATGGGGCACTTGCTTCGCCCTATGGTGGAAAGCTGCCCTGGCCAGAGATGGGAGGGGTCATTGCCAAGGATGCAGGGCAGGTGGCTACAGCTCACAGCTGTCTGCTCCCACCACCAGGAGACCCAGGTCCAGGTGTTCATTGTTTAGACTCATCCAGAAGAGAGGAGTGATCCTCCAAGCGTCAGGTTGAAGGAGTTTCGAACTCCAATGCAAAAGGTTCAGGAAGAGGCTTTGAGAAACCCACAGCTGCTTTGCAGGGGGCTGGGCTGGCGTGGTGGGAGCAGGGACCACGCAGCCCGGGGTGGGAGCTGGCTCTGCCTACCACGTGCTGCATAGCTTTGGAGCATCGCCTCATCCCAGCCTCATTGCTTCCCCAGTGAGGAGGAGGAGGTTGACGCTCAAGACTTCAGAGACCCCACCCATATCATCTCTCCCCCAGGGGAGGTAACCTCTGTGTTATTTCATTTCTCTGTATCCCCTCCCCCTGCCGCCACAGCACTTAGAGGCCTGCCTCCGACAGATGAGCAAGTGAGCGCAGTGCTCAGGAGCTCCGACTTGAGAGTCAGATCAATGAGGGTTCGAGTCCCGGCTCCGAAAAATGGGCACCCTGAAAGGGCCCATACAACCACAGGGTTGTACGAGGACACAGGTGACTAGAAGCACCCCGTCAGAGCCCGATGAGTAGAAGTTCTTATGAATAGGAGCTCCAAGGACCCCTGTAGATTGGGTCCAGAGCAGCAGCTCTGATGGACATGGCCTCCCCAAGATGTTTCCCTTCGTTGTATTCAAATCGGGTAACAATGGGCCTGGCGTTTTGGGAGGGGCCGAGGGTGGTCCCTCAGATGCCGGCGGCCAGAGCCCACAGGGAGGTCAAACACCTCCTGGACTGGACGTCTGCACCATGGACAGGGATCTGAATGACGATGACAGTAAGTACAGCCGGGGGGACCTGGGGAGCTCACTTCTGTGGTCAGCACCGGCCGAAATCTTCCCTTTGGCCTCTATGCTCTCTTGGGTTCTGGGTCTGTGTTGCTGAGAGCATCCTTCCTTCCTTCCTTCCTTTTGTGTGGAAAGCCCATTTGCAGCCTGCTGGCTGTTCTTCCAGTATGTGCCTCTGGGCAGTGGAGGAGGATGGTAACAACCAAGACAGAGAACTTTCCTCCCTGACCATGGTAACCTCATCCCAGTCTTGTATCCTTCAATCTTCCTTTCTCTGGCTGACCGTTCCCCAACGCTCTCTCGCCCCAGCCACGTGTGAGCCTGAATACCACACTTGCGCTCAGTTCTGAGGTGAGGTTAATTTGAAAGACATTCCTGGAAAGTCTTTACTGGTGATCTTCCTCTTGCAAAGAGGGGTGTGTTCATTATTGCTTGAGAAACACAGTCCTGGTGACCCCAATGCTGTCATTCCTGGGACAGAAATACAATGGAATCTTAAGGACTATTTAAGGAGATGAAGACAGAAATGGCATTTTATTTATTTATTTTAAAGATTTTATTTATTTATTTGACAGAGAGAGACAGCGAGAGAGGGAACACAAGCAGGGGGAGTGGGAGAGGGAGAAGCAGGCTTCCCGCGGAGCAGGGAGCCTGAGGCGGGGCTCGATCCCAGGACCCTGAGATCATGACATGAGCCGAAGGCAGACGCTTAATAACTGAGCCACCCAGATGCCCCAGAAATGGCATTTTAGGAAGAAATGTGCCATGTTTAAAAAAAAAAATGATCCTGAATTTGGAAGGGACAATGTGTGGAAGAGTATCAGATTGGGGTTTGGGAGGCTGGGGGTTCGGGTCCTGGCTCTGCTATGAATTGGCTGTGTGATCTTGGGCAGGTAACTTAACCTCTCTGAGCCTCAGTTTCTCCATCTATAAAAGGAGATGGGTCAGGATTCCCTAATTTGAAGACCATGAAGGTGAGGGCAAAATGTTGAATGAATGTAGTTTTCTGGGGGGCGGGGGGGGGGTCCTCAGCTTTCATTTGAATCCCAGAGGAGCTTGTGACACTAGTACATTTTCACGATTCCCAAACTTGGGGACTTTGAAGGTCCTGTGCAGGTCCAGCTCTATTGTCTTTCAGTTTCAGAGCTGAAGTGGGATATGAAAAAAGCCCGTGTAAATCTAAGCAACGCATTTAAAATTTTGTTGGAATCCTTTTTCATATTGAAGTGGGAGACTGTACAGAGATATTTTATCATGTATTTGAGCTGGACCTAATCTGATCTCTGATATATTGGAAATTGTGCAGTCATAATTTTATAAGGTTCTACTAATAATCAAATGCAATTTTTCCTCTTTGAAACACTGCTCATTATCAGTCTTGCAGTTTACAATAGGAGTTTCTTAGTAACAATGGGCTAGGTTGGATTTGGATTCAGATCCAGGCTCTGCCTTCTAATTGTTGGGTGACTTTGCTCAAGTCGCTTAACCTCTCTGGGCTACATTTCTCACAATAAAAACATAGATCATGTCATCTGGAAGACTTGGTGAAAGATTAATTGGATGTGAAGTGCCTACAGCATCACTCAGAGTCGAGTAAGCATGGAATAAATGTTGACTCTAGAGAATTATCAGATTCTGTCTCCCAGAGCTTTAAAATTAAACTGCTATTAATGAAAAATATTATCACCTGCCGTGTTTGTTTCGGCATCATGCCTTTTGGTAAGCCAGGTGAGAGTAAGGTTAACTCTTTAGTTCCCTTAAAATTCTAAAGACTCTGATTCCGTCATAGTGTCACCCTACATGCTGGTTTCCAATATAATCAAACCATAGGGTCTAGTGCAAGGTATGAGATTGTTCAGAAAAGTTTTTAGAAACAATGCTGATGAACTCTGAAACTAGGTCAGTATTTGTCCAGGTTTCGGAAAGGGAGCCTGCTACGGGACTTAACATAATTGAAATGTCCCTCCTTAGGCGAGAGATGGCTGCCCACTTTGTCCCAGTTGAGTTACCCTCCCCAGTCATGAAAATGTCGTCTCCTCAGTTTTTGAGTCTGGAATGTGGGCAGCTTCAGAAAGAGAATATCTTCATCCAATGACACACTGTGGGACTGAAAGCGGGCACGGACAGAGACATTCTGGGATGTGGCGTCCACATGGAAGTCAGCATGAAGGTCTCTTAACTCGGCCTTAGCTCTGACAGCATTCGGCTCATGGCAACACCTCCCGCCATTGGCCGAGACGCTTCCGGTGATGGGCTGGTCCGCCTTCCATAGCTGAGGCGGTCAGGAATTCTTTCCTACATTCATTTGATCTCTCTTTCCCTGGCACTTGTACTCTTTGGTCTGGATTCTACAACCCCACCCCCACACCCCTGCCCCCAGGCTACTCAGAACAGGTCTGTTCCCTGTTTAAAATAAGAAGCCTTCAGAGTTTTTTTCTTTTCTAGCGTGACCAGGTCCTGTTTTTCCAATGGGCCCAGATGCAATGTGGTTTCAATCACTCTTCTCTTAGAGGGAGATATCCTAGCCCAGAGATGAAGAAGAAAAATCCCCTCCTTTATTCTAAAAATCATATCCCTTGTAATACAACTTATTTTATTACAGACTGAATCCCCTCCCAGAAATGGTGTGCAAGAGCCTCTTCAAGTCAGACGAGACCCACCCCATAATTGGAGGAGGGGGCTGCTGTGATTCTGGACAATAGGACCTAGATGGCAACTCCTTACTCCTGGGCGCTGATAGCTGGGGATGGGGAGAAATGATCCGAAGCCACACCACTGTCACCATCAGTGACCCAGTGCTGAGGGATGGGACTCTTCCCTCGGTACCCTGGCCAGCTCTGTTGCCCAAAGACATTCTTTAGTGTTCCCCCCAGGCCAGCTCTGAGTTGGAGACCAGAGACTGGATGAAGCTATCAGGGTAACTTGGTGGGAAAGATGCTGGACTTCATGGCAGGGGCCCAGCTTCCAAGGGCCTTGGTGACCGACCGTGGGGCTTTAGTGTATCTCGCACATCCCTTAGGAGGGAGGCACGGCCACCAGGAGCACAGGCCCTCCCTGCCAGTTTGGCCCTGACCTCTTGGGACAACTCTTAATGGAAAGACAGAGTGTCCCTTTTTCTCTGTTTTCCCGAGTGCTCCTCCCACTGACTATATTCCCTGAGCCCTGTTGTAGGGAAAGAAGACCAGGGCCCTAAAAAATAAAGTGACTCTCCCCCCAGACTACACAGTAGGCTAGCTATTTGGAGCTGTGCTTATGGCTGGAGGTATAAGGATGAATGCACTGATCTACTTTTCAGGTGTTCAAAGCCTCGTGGGGGAGGCAGACCTCCAGCTGGACTTTTTCTGAATAATTCTTAGAAAGCTGTTTGGCAAAAGCAACAACAGAGTGCGGAGGGGCATAGGGAGGGGGCAGCACCCCCAGGCAGGCTTTGTAGGACGTCAGGCCTGGGCTGAGTCAGGCTGAGGGAGTGGAGGGGGTGTGTCCTGGGCAGGAACAGCCAGAACAAGGCCTGGGAGAAATGGCACAGTACACGTGCCAGGGTGAAGGCCAACATCAGTGTCCTGAAGTGACAAGGCAGCCCTGAACACCCCCTTTTCCTTCCCTGCCCCGTGGCCCTCTCTCGGCATGGTGACGCTTTCTACAAAGCAAGACTTACACAGCCCAACTGAGTGGACGTTTGTTGTAACATTTGCCGGGTTGCCTCTTGGCCTGCCAGGGGGTCCTGAAGAGCTCCAAGGACAACTTAGCCCCGGCCTTCCCCCCGTTTCTCTTGATGCTGATCTCGCTCCCACGGTGGGCCTTGTGTTTGCTCTCCCAAATATGTTCTCGTTGGCTCCCACCTGAAAGCTCCCACACGTCTCTCTCCTCTCAAGCCCCGAGGAGGCTTTTCTCTCTCCTCCCCCCTTTCTGCTCTGTTCTTTGTCCCCACCCCTCCCCGGCCACAGGGACTGTTTTCCCTTCTCTCACTTGTTCTGGGCAATGTGGGAAGGTTTTTTAACCCCAGCGGGGGAGGAGACTCCACAGGTAATATAGGGCCAGTTAATACAGGGCCTTCTCTGCTAAGGGCCGGAGCTTAGATGTTAGCTGTGGGCTGTGGTGGGCGCCTGGGTCGCTCAGTCGATTGGGTGTCTGCCTTCGGCTCAGGTCATAATCCTGGGGTCCTGGGATCGAGTCCCTCATCGGGCTCCCTGCTCAGTGGGGAGTCTGTTTCTCCCTCTCCTTCTGCCGATTCCTCCTGCTTGTGCTCTTTCTCTCTCTCTCAAAAAAAAAAAAAAAAAAAAATCTTAAAAAAAAAAAAGCTTTAGGCTGTAGTGAGCCACTGAGGTGTTTAAGAGATGGGATGGCCTGGTCAGCCTTTCTGGTCTTGCTACAAAGACTCTTACATAACGTAGCCAATTATTTGTTCTTCTTGGCAAGCAAGACTCTTTTCTTTCTCTTGTGCTCACCTGACTTCTGTTTTTATTACTTTAAATTATGGTAAAATACACGTAACACAAAATTTTTAATCGTGCTGTTTGGCGATATTAAGTACATTCCCATTATTGTGCAACTATCACCACCATCTATCTCCAGAATCCTTTCATCTCTAACCGCACTCAACAATTCCTCACTAGCCTCTCCTCTTTGCTCCTGGCCAACCCCATTCTATTTTATGTGAGTGTGGATTAGACCACCTGAGTCTCTCCTGTACCATCTTTAGTGTCATTCAAACCACAGTGTATTTATGTGCACTGACTGTATGCAGGAAGGGTGGTTCTCTGTCTGAAAGGGGCCCTCACGCCTGTTGGAGGAGACAAGGTAGGAAACAAACAAAAGCAAGATGGCAGTGGGGCGCCATCTGAACAGAGAGGTGGACTGATTTTAGTGTTTTTAAGATGATTCGTCCTGGAATCAGAGGCAGAAGATGTGGACTCCTTTTATCCTCAGAAATAAAGGGAATGGCATTTTAAAAAGAGGAAGTTAAAGAGGTTATCCGTTAGTTATACCTTGCTCCACAAGAAAAAGTCCTTTTTACACAAAAGAAAAATTGCTGGTGGCTGGTGAGCACTACCTTAGAGGCGCTTTGCAAAGCTTTCTCAGCAACCACTTGATGCCATTTGCATGGAGCGATAGGACGTTCAGCGAAGTGGAAAGGTCATTGGCTTAGAGTTAGGATCTGAGTCTTAAGTACTCTTTCTGGCTCTGCTGTGAATGTGTGAGTTTGTTGCCCCAGATCCCACCTCTGAGTCTCGTGCTTCTACCAAGCCGGGAAAACAGAAAACAGTGGTTGTCGTTAAATGCAGAAAAAGATCACACCCGCACCATCCCTTTGTGAGCTACAGGACACAATGCATGTCTTAGGGTGGGGTGGCCCAGCTGCAACTCAGCCCCGACCCCGTGGAAACAGTGATACGGCTGGGGGGGCCCCCTTCGGAATGCCCCACGCTGGGCGTCACACAATGACCCGTGATGTCCACGTTCCTGTTGTACCCGCTGAGATCTGCACAGGAAATGACGCATCTGCCTGTAGGTCAGCCCGGAGCCCTTTCTTTTTGTACATAACATAATGGTGAGATTAATTTAGTTCTGACGAATTACGACTGCCCTGCGAGGTCAGGGTGGCTCCTGGTTGATGGATGGAGCTCTGAGTTTCCCACCTCTTATTCTTCCCCTCTTCCTGCCTCTTTGTTTGGTTTCCAGCCGGACGTTGCAGCCATATGGCATTTCTCTGTCTTCTAGCAGCGCAGAGTCTGGATGCCGCAGCAGACCCAAGACCTCGGGCTGGGCGGGGGCCTTCCCCGGGGAGAGGGCTGTGCAGGTCTTGCCTTTCTTTCTATGCTTGACATTTTCACCTCTGGCTTAAAGGAGCACAAAGAGAGAGGAAGACCCTCCCTCCTCAGGTCCAACCAAGGCATTGACTGAGCGTTTCTTGAATGCCAGGCTGGGGGCTATGAGCTGTGTGCACATTGTCTTATTAGATGGGCGCTAATATCATCTGCTCTGTTTCACAGCTGGGGGGCAGGGGGTTGAGTTCTGCAAGGATGTGTGGCTGGCACAGTATCATGCAGTCCATGACTCAGATGTATCAGAGCCCATGTTCCTAACCACCGTGCCTCAGGAATTCTGACTCCGGACAGACAGCCTTGGCTATAGTCCAACCCTGACCTTTATCCTAAACGCTGATAACCGGGCTCACGGGAATTGTAATGACATGCACGGGCCCTGGTCCCAGAAAGGTTCAAATTCTAGCTTCCCTCTTTCTGACCCTCCCTCAAATCTACCCATGAGTGTCTAGGGCAGCGTGGGCAAAATAAGGCTCAAGGGCCAAGTCTGACCCACTGCCTGTTTTTTCAAGTTTTATTAGTACAAAGCCATGCTTACGTAGTTGTGCATTATCTATGGCTGTTTTCAGCTGAGCTGAGTAATTCAAACAGACTGTATGGCCCACAAAATCGACAGTATTTACTACTTGTCTATTTGCAGAGAAGGTTTGCCGATCCCTGGTGGCTAATATAGCTGAAAATGCTAATCCACTTATCAGGAGCAAACAGTGTTCAGAACCAAGGTATGAATGAAAATTCCCAATGAGTTATCATCTTGGGGACTTCAGTACACTTCGGCAGGCACCAGTGTGAAGCTTTGGGTTGACGTCCCTTTGCATCACACCCATCTCTACCCCAGGTCTCTCACCTGTTTCTGCACAGAGTCGTTTGTTTACAAAGATAAGCTTTCCTGCTAAGAAAAGCACTCTCTACATCTATACACATTCATCTATTTCAGCTGCCTTTGTAAATGTCCTGCAAGGAGAAACCGTAGAGATGCGTATGCATTCCTTATTGTCAGAGGACGGAGACATTTCTAAGTTGGAGGGAGTGGAAGAACGAGATGGTTCATTTGTCTTAATGACCCCCCTCCTCCCTCCACTGTGTGTGGCCGTGGGTTTCAGCCTTCCTCCCCACCTGCCATCCCACTTCCAGAGAGCCCCAGCTGCTCCAACTTAGAATAGGATCTGCTGCTTCTTCTGGCCTCTGTTTTTATTAAACTTGGAAGGACAGGGCGTATTATTTTTATTTTTGTAGAGGGAAAGAGTGCTAGGCTTTAAAGAGCTGAGGAAAAAAAAAAAGGAGGGATCTAGGGGGTGAGATGGATCAGCTGTTGATCAGAGTGTGTTCAGTGACTTCATGCAGAGAGAATTACTTTCCACCGACCATTTATCAGCTTACCCTTTAAAGTCAACTTCCTGTAATCATATTGGCCACTGGAAAGACAGAGCTGAGGAGTTCTTATCCCCCAGCTCGGGGGCTGCAGGGAATGGGTTTGTGTGGTGGCCCAGTGTGCTGGAACTGGAACAGGGAGCCTCTAGCCTGCTCTGACTTCACGGCTGTTCACCCTAGGACTACTGGAGTAACCTCTCTGAGGCTCAGACTCCTCATGTGGAGCGGAGTTAGAAGTCCTGCCTTCTGTATCTCCAGGTGGGAGGGTGGGGTGTAGCAGCAGGTGTGGGGAGATGCTTTATGAGTTGTCCAGCGTTTCTGGGAGCCAATTCTTATTTTTATGCTTTCCTCCCTTGGAGACTCAGGGCTATGGATATCTCTTTCATAGCCTGGCAGATCAAGTTGAGGGTTTTTATAAACTTAAACCTAAAATATTGAAGTATAATTAACATGCAGTGTTACAGGAGTTTCAGGTGTAGAAGGTGAGGTTTGAACAGCAGGTATGTAGTGAGTGATTCTTCCGCAGGGGCTGCCTCATGAAAAATGCTTGGGAAGAACATGGACTTTGGAGAACAGTGAGTCTTGGTTTGAACCCAGCTCCATCACTCACGGGCCTCATGATCTTGGGTGAGCCACAGCCTTTCTGAGCCCCATCCGCCTTTTAGGAGAATGGGGCGACAAGTGTCGGTTTGGGCCATCCGAGAAGCGGACACCCAGATGGCATTAGATGTGTCAGAGGTCCCTCGGAAACACATGTGAAAGGAAAAGGGCAGTGGGAGTAGGTGTGGGCCAGGACCGCCTGCAGGACCACACTGCAGGACCACACTGCAGGACCACACTGCAGGACCGCCTGCAGGACCACACTGCAGGACCACACTGCAGGACCACACTGCAGGACCACACTGCAGGGACCGCCTGCAGGACCACACTGCAGGACCACACTGCAGGACCACACTGCAGGACTGCCTGCAGGACCACACTGCAGGACCGCCTGCAGGACCACACTGCAGGACCACACTGCAGGACCACACTGCAGGACCGCCTGCAGGACCGCCTGCAGGACCACACTGCAGGACCACACTGCAGCAGGACCGCCTGCAGGACCACACTGCAGGACCACACTGCAGGACCACACTGCAGGACCGCCTGCAGGACCACACTGCAGGACCACACTGCAGGACTGCCTGCAGGACCACACTGCAGGACCACACTGCAGGACCACACTGCAGGACCACACTGCAGGACCGCCTGCAGGACCACACTGCAGGACCACACTGCAGGGGGGTACACCTGTGAGAGGAGAGTGGGAAGCAAGGCACCTCAGACCGCGGTGTGGCTCCAAGAAAGTCTTGCTCAGGTTTGTGGGGAGTCCCAGAGCCAAGACTGCCTATTATGGGAAGCTGCATAAAGAAACCACTGCGCACCTCAGTACCTTAAGACAGCCCCCATTTTATTATAGTTCATGGTTTTGTGGGTCGGGAATTTGGATAGGACTCAGCTGATTCTTCTCCTTGTGTAATCCATTAGGGTCTGTCTTAGTGTGGGTTGCTACGACAAAACACCATAGGCTTCCTGGCTACTAGAGGCAAACGTTTATTTCTCACAGTTCTGGAAGCTGGGAATCCCAAGATCAAGGCACCGGTAGACCCAGGGCTGGTGAGAGGCTGCTTCTGGCTTGCAGCCTGCTGCCTTCTCACCAGGAGCTCGCAGGGCGGAGAAAGAAAGGGCCCGACCGAGTCTCTTTCTTTTCCTGCCAGGGCACTAATCCTACCACGGGCGGGAGCTTTGTGCATGACCTTATCTAAACCTGACCACCTCCCAAAGGCCCGAACATGGAATACCATTCCATGAGGGGGTTAGGGCTTCAGCATATGAATGTGGGGGGACACGGACCCACAGTCTGTAACAGGGTCACTCAGGGGTACTCAGTGGGCAGCTGGCCTGGCCTGGCGGAGCCCGACGGCTTTGCTCGTGTGCTTGCTGGCTCGGCAGGATGGTGGAGTGGCGGGAAGGCTGGGCTCTGCTGGGCTTCTCTCCATATGGTCTTAGGGTCTCCATGTTGTCCATGGGGTCTCCCCATTAAGGCAGCTTGATGTCTTACACGGCGGCTCAGGGCTCTAGAGAGCAAGAAGTAGAAGCTGTGGTCTCTTCATGGCTTCTGTCTACAGAGTTCCCTTGCTTGAAGCAGTCTCAAGCCTGCCTGCGTCCAAGATGAGGAGACACAGATGCGTCTCTTGATGAGAGAAGCATCTAAGAAGTGTGAGCCTCTCTAATTCAGTCGCTGTCCCCTGGGGTCCTGGGGTACGATCCTGTTTCTAAAGCACCTGTCATGGTGGTTGGCACAGAGTAGGTTCCCAGCAAGCAGAAGTTGCCGTTCCGAATGTTTTCCTCACCAGGATTATTCGTGCCGCTCCTATCACACCCCACCCCATCCCTGCCTGCCCTGCAGATGGGGCCCCGAGTGAGACTGGCTTAAACCGTGAGCCTTTTCAGTACCGCACCCAGCCTCCCTTGGCAGCTTCCGGTGAACCGCCCCTCCCTCTCTCCTTGCCACCCCCCGGAGGCTCAGGCCTGCCTTCCTCCCACAGGTGTGGTGGACCTTAGCTTCGAGGCCGAGAGTCCTCCGGCGCCCCCAGCCGAGCTCCTGGAGAGACTGCCCAGTTGTGACTGGCTTCTTCAAGGAGGCGGTAAGTCTGTGAGGTCTTGGTTCCTGCAGCCTCTTCCTGGGGCTCCTGCTGCTTGGGGAGACGTCTCTGGACCAGGCCCGTGCTGGGATGGCTTGCCTCTCCTCTGGGGAGCCCTGGGAAGCCTCTTGTCACCATTGGGGGGGGGAATGGGAGGACATGGGGCATCAGCCCTGTGTCCACGAACATTCCATGACCATATCCCTGTCTAAGACTGGAATCATGCTGGTTTGAGAACCATCCTTCTTGCATTAGCTGCGTTAGCATGTGGGGCTCTTTCCCTTTGTCTCATTCAGCCTCACGTTCAGCCAGTCTTTCCTTCTTTCACCCCACAAACACCTGTGCCTTTGAGCTAGGCTGTTGCGCCCCTGACCCCTCCCCTTTCCCCCAGGACAGCAGATATTCTTCCCACCTTTGGAGGCTCCCAGGAGACCCCTGGAACAAAGGTGCTGGTCCTCATTCATGGAACACAGGTGAGCTGGTGCCATCACATAGGATGTCGCCCTTGCCCGCCGCCCCCCCCCACCCAAGAACCTTCCTTGGGGATTTTAGGGTCCACGGATCTCAACCCTGCCAGGGCCTCAGGATCCCAGACCTGCTGGATCAGATTCTCCAGGGACAGAGGCCAGGAATGTGTATTTTACCAAGCTCCCCAGGCTGTTTGGCTACCCAACTGGGGTTGAGAACCAGAGTGTGGACCAGGGGTTGTAAACTGTAGCCCCCGGCTCTAATCCAACCCACTGCCTATTTTTGTAAATCAAGTTTTATCAGAACAGAGAGCCACGCTCACTTGTTTGCTTACTATCTGCAACTGTTTTTGTACTACACCAGCAGAAGGGGGTGAGTGAGGCAGAGACTGCACAGCCCTTGAAACCGAAAATATTTACTCTCTAGTCCTTCACCGAAGAAGTCTGTTGAGCCCTGGGCCCAGGACTCTGGGCAGAGCGCCAGCTTTGTGCAGAGAGAAGGTGGAGCCCCGCTTTCTGGGTCCCGCCTCTTGGCTGGGTGGCTCTGTCCTGCCTCCAAGGAGTCTCCTGAGTGCTCCTGGCCCCACTGCTGCCTAGAGCGCCTCCCCTTCTCCTCCCTGGCCGCCCACCTTCCCTGCCCAGGGCAGACCCTGCTTCCTCAGTGGAGCCCTCTGGGCCATTCTGGGCCCCACACCTCCTGCATGCACGCAGGCCCCCTGATGCCCCAGGCACGGGGTGCTGGAGACATCCCTGTGCATGAGAGGGGCATAGTGTTCGGAGTCGGGCTGCTGTGGAGAAGGAAATGAAGATGGGAGGGAGGGGAAGGAGGAGAGGACTCCCGCTTCCCATAGCTGTTGGCAGGGGAGGGCTTGGCTAGGAGGGGATATGGCAGCTGGGCCTCAGGGCAGGCTTTCCTAGGAGGACGGGGAGGCCTCCAGAGAGAGCGCCAAGGAGGCGGCCATTGGTTGTGCGCCCCTCACAGCCACAGCTGCTGTGGGCCAGCAGGCTCACGGTGCTCTCTGTGGGCACCGCAGTCAGATAGCTCCCGGCCGGGGTCTTCCCGTGAACCCTGCTCACAGCTCCTCTGGCTGAGGTCAAGGTCTCCAAGGGCAGGCACGGGGTCTAGCCTAACTTTGCGTCCTTCTAGCTGTGTGACATCTTCTACAGACCTCAGTTTTCCTCATCTGTAAAATGGCCTAATTCATGTTTAAATGTGTGTGTGTGTTTGAGTTCTGAGATTCTTTCAGCCCTTCTCATGAGCCTTGCGCTTTAGCTAAAGAAGTTTTGCTGTCTTCTAGAAAGAACTGTGTTCCTGCTGTGGGCGTCTGTTCACACAGCTCCCTGCGCCAGAGACGCACCCCCCCCACCCCGCCAGATGGAGCCCTGAGTGCTTTCCCACCACAGGGGGCCACAGCCAGGCCCTTCCCTTTCTCCCAACCTCAGTTTCCATCTGTGTCAAGAGCGGGCTGGCTGGCCCGGCGGAGCCTGGAGGCCCTTTCCAGAGACCCTGCTTCTGTGCTCTGTCCCCAGCCGAGTCCCCATGGTGACAGAGGAAGTGGCTCGGGAAGCCCTCCTCAGCTTTGTGAGCTCCAAATGCTGCTATGGCCGTGCAGCCGCCGGTGACCTTGTCATCCAGGAGCTCAAGCAGCAGACCCTCTGCAGGGTAAGGGGGCCTGGGCCTGGCGGGCACCCCGGGGTGCCTCAGGCATTAGGTCCTGGGTGGGGGGTGGCTTGTGTGGTGTCAAACGGGAGAAAGGAGTCTTGGGGGGGCGGCGCATATGAAGAGGGGTGACCCTGAAGCCCTTTCTGCTGCTTCTCTGGTCTGTGGTCTGCTGAAAAGCTCGAACGTGCTGGGCATCATGGGAAGCACATCACATATACGTCATATGAAGTCCTCAGTGGCTACCCTACACGGTAGATATGATGGTCACCTGTTCAAGGGGGAGGAACTGGAAGTTTAGAGAGGCGAAGTTACTTGCCCCAAACGTACAGCTAGAAGTGACAGAGCTAGGACTCTAACTCAGGTTTGCTGGCACCAAAGTCCACATCCTTAAACACATGACTAACCTGCTTCCAGGAGGGGTGGGCCGAGAAAGCTCCATCTGCCCCCCTTGTTCCCCAAGTCACATCTGTGCCAAGAAATCATTAATTCATTACCCTTGGGCCTGAAGCTCCGGGGAAATCTGGTACTGAGGCCACAACAGGTGCCTATGTCACCGTCTGCGTTGACTGGGCCACGGGACAGATTTTAAGTCCGTACTTTCTAGTGTCACTGGCACAGCCATCCTCTGGTGAGCGTACAATCCCACCAAAACCGCACAAGCCTCACAGGGAGTGGTTAGGACAGGAGGCTGGGGGAAGAAGTACCTGTGTAGCTGTGTGAACTTGGGCAAGTCAACCAGCCTCTCTGAGCCTCTGTTTCCTCCAGTGTCAAAGGAGGAGCCAGCTGGTGTCCAAGACCCCTTCCTGTTTTGTGATTTTTGTGGATGAGCACAAGAAGGAGGCTCTTGACATCAGGCACAAAAATCCCTCTGAAGAGGACGTTTGGAGAAGCAGACTCCATTGGTCTCCATCTATCAAAGGGCAATTTTGCTGCTCCACAGCTCGCCTTGTAGAACATTCTGGGTATAAAGAAATGGGGGGCTGAAACCACCCCAGTTGTGAGCCTGTCAGGAGAGATTTCCTGGGGCTGACTGATCTCCCTGCAGACGTCTGGGGGTATCTGGAGCAGAAATCGTTGTTGCCGGCTTGTTCTCAGCAGCCTGTGGTGCTGGGAGTGGGGCCTTTCGATTTCCCCTCCGAGGCTCAGCAGGTGGGAAGCTTCTTCGTTTTGTATAATGCTGTCTTCCTAAAGGGCATGAGTGTGAACATGCTGGGCTTTTTTCCCTCTGTAGTATCGACTAGAGACTTTTACCGAATCCAGAATAAGCGAATGGACATTTCAACCCTTTACTAGTAAGTGAAATCAGTTTAATTGGGAGCAAATCTGATAGGGGCTGGTGGAAAATATCAGGACACATCTTAGCCACTAACCCTGGATAAGATGCGCTTCTGCGTGCAGCCTCCCCTGTAAAAAGAGAGGGTGAGCTTTCATCTTGGACTTTCCAGAGCTGATCTCAGCAAATCCTTCCTATCTGGGAAGAGGTTTGCAGAAAGACCTAAAAAAGTCTAGTGTTTGCCTTTGGTCACAGACAAAGGCAGCGTGTGTGCCTGGGCATCCGCCTGCCTTTGAGGCCACCTCCAGTGCCTCCCAGGGTCCCCGTTCACTGTGCCATCCCGCCTGCTGCTGAACCCCGCGTGGAGGCTGAGGGTTCTCCCTGGGGAGCCCTATGCCCTTCCTTCTCTGATGACCACTCTGGTTCATCCTTGAAGACTCAGCTCCTGTGTCACCTCTTTCATGAAGCCTTTCAGGATTTCTTCACCTGCTGACACTTTCCCCAATAGAAGGAGCCAGTCTTCTGAGTTTCCCGAGCCTTTATGCAGCTCTGGTCCAACGCTCTCTGCATATCCTATGACCTCGTGTGGTGGTTGCCCCTGTCCTATCTCCTTGAATGGAGGAGGGGGGAGGAGAAAGAAGGAGGTGGGGACGGTCACGATAGTGATGGTAGTTATTGTTATTGATGCCTCTCAGGGGCCAGCCCGGTGCTAAGCATTTCTATGCCTTCTATTTAATTTTCACTACCATCCTATCTGGTGGGTTCCCTATATTTATCTCATTTCGGAGAGAAGAGAGTTGAAGGTCGGAGAGGTAGAGTAACTTGCCTGGAGTTACACAGCTAGGAAGTGGAAGAATCAGGAGTCAAACCAGGTCTGTCAACTCCAACACATGGTTAAGTCCAACACTTAACCGTGGACTCCGAGGGGCTCCTTGTCTACCTGTCCCGTAGCCCAGGATCTTGCCTAATGCCTGGCGTCAAGTGAAGGCTCCGTACTATTTGGTAAATAAATGAGAGCTTGTTCTTGCAGCTGTTCACTGGCCTTACAATGATCCCTTTCTGTATCAGACCAGTCAGTGGATGGGCCACAAAGAGGGACCTCCCCCAGGCTTTGGGACATCAAGGTCCAGGTCCCCCCGATGTTTCAGGAAGACACGAAGAAGTTTCAAGTCCCTCACTCGTCACTGGTCAAGGTAACGTGATTGTTGGCATCTTTGCCCTTCTCTCTGAGCTGCTTTCCCAGGCACTGTATATTTCCTCAAACTTTATCTTTTTAGAAAGGAAACCCAGAATGCAGACCGGTGGTTCATTCCTTGGCTATCAGCAAGGCGAACTCTAAGGAAACCCAGAGTGTGGAATATAGACCCATACAAAATTCCATGCAAATTAGGGAGTAGTCAGGTAGCGAAAGGATGATTGCAATTATCAAACTGTCACCAGCTTTAAACAGTGAGTGTTCACATTCCTAGACCATCTGAGTGTTTTTAATTTATTTTTGTTTTTTATTTTTGCCTGACAGTAAACAGCTGAAGTGATGAATGAAACAGATATAAAATAAAGCTCAAACGTTATTTGGATTTTCAGCAAAGTCAGTAAAGGGACAGAATTTGACTTCTGTCCCATTTTTTGGAAATATAATCATGACATGAGGCGAGGCTAACCTAATGTATTACAAAAGCACAGATGAGATATTTCCTATTATGTTCTCATTTTCACTTTTAGAACTTGATTCAAGCATGTAACTTTCCCCTCTGAGTTTTTGTAGCGTCATATGATGACGAGGACTTTGAGAGGTCCAGAGAGGGTTCCATTCTTTTCTCAAGAGTGGAAAGGTTATTCTGATTCAGGGATTAGATTCCAGTAGCTAACTCTTTGCCCTTCACAGAAATGCTGTGCATTTTTTTTATGACTTCTATTCCCAAAGACCTCTTAGCTACTCAATGGGCCAAGGACACCGGCCTTTGCGGTTTAGCCTGGGAGCATGAGTTAGGACATGGAGCTTGGAGAACAGACTGGGCTGGGGCCCCGAAGAGATGGTAATATGATTTCTTTGATTTGGCATTCAAGGCCCTGTGGAATCCTAGGCAAGTGAGAATGGCTGTCTTCCCACACTGGGCCTAGGACTGGTGATGCCATGGGGTGGGTGTGGGGATGGTGAAATCAGGAGGCGTTGGTGCTTGGGAAACTGGAGCCAAGGAGAGCTTTTCACTTCCAGGGATGCCACAAATGCCATGGGCGTGGGCGTTACAAATGCAGCGGCTGCCATGGGGCCGGCATGGTGAGTCCTGGGTGGCTGCTGTTGAGTTAATGATAGTGGGGGAGGAGGGCCCCTGCAGGGACGGAGGGCTGGGCTGGGGGCCCGGGGCTCCTCCACTAACAGTGTGACCTGAGGCAAGTCATCCTCCCTTTCTGGGCCTCCATTTGCTCACCTGTAAAATGGGAAAGTTGGATTGGGCATTCGCTACTGGCCTTTGTTCACTTCAAATGGTTTATGGTTCCTGATTTTAATTCTTCTGTTTCTCATCTGTCTGCAAACATTTGTTGAGACTGAGTACTCACTCAGTGCTGGGCCCCCGTAAGAGGACTCAGACCTGGGGGCCTTCCTATCGGGGACCCTCTGTCCTTGGGGAAGACCGACAGGTGACCAGCACATGTAGTATTCGGTGATGAGTCTGAGAAGGTGAAGTTCAGGGGACTTCGAGGGGCAGAATAGATGGGGGCCTTGGGTTAGTGCCCTAGGGCTGCTGTAATAAATTACCACAAACTGGGGGGCTTAAAACAAGCGATATTTATTCTCTTCCATTTCTGGAGGCTGGAAGTCCAAAATCAAGGTGTGAGCAGGGTTGGTTCTTTCTGGAGGCCCTGAGCCACACTACTAGCTTCTGGCAGTCCCCAGTCCTTGGTACACCACTCCGTCCTCTGCCTCTGTTGTCACATGGCCTTCTGCACGTGTGTCCTGGGTCTCCTCAGGCGTCCTTGTGAGGGCCCACCCTAGCCCAGCATGACCTCATCTTAACTAATGACACCTGCCAAGACTCTTTCCAAATAAAGGCACATTCTGAGGTTCTCTGGTGGATGTAAATGGTGGTGGTGGTTGGGGACGGGGTAGACACTGTTCAACCTAGTACAGGTCCCTAAGTGCATAGCCAGGCTCTGGAGCCATCAGCCTCCTCCTCAGAACCCTTCAGGGCTGCTGACCTCCCAGGAGGAAGCCCACGCTCCTCCCGTGTCCTCAGCTCTCCCCCTTCGCTCTGATCTTTTAGACACACATTGACCACTTGCCTCTCTAGGCCACGCCTTCCTCCATCCTTCTCTCTGCCCACCTGCCCTTCCACGCTTTGGACGCCCACCTTCCCCCTGCTGTGTACGTTCTTCCGCCTACTCATGTGCCACCTGTGGGGCCCTTCTGTTACCTCTGCCTTCACCCCTGCCATATGCCTCCTTCGGGCCTTCTTGGAGCCCCTCCCTGTGGTCTTTTGTGTTCCTCCCTCCACCCCTGCTCTCCTTCCTCCCCACCCTCCTCCCTCAGGCTTTTTCTGGAGTGTCTCCGGAGTCCACTCTGAGCCAACTGTGGGAGTGTAGCCTTGGGGCCTTTCCAAGACTGAGCTCCCCATCCCCAACTCAGCCAGCCTGCCCCTCTTCCCAGTCCCTTTGGCCATGGCCGTTTGGTCAGGGTGCAGCCTCAGGGGTTGTGGGGATCCAAGAAGAGCAGGGGAGGATGGTGTCTCAGGAGAAACACAGATGTGAGGATGTAGCGTCTTTGAAGGCTACAGCCGGAGGGGCCCCAAGATACACAACAGTCACCCCTCCCATCTTCCAGCTGAGGGAGCTGAGGCCCAGGGAGCGGAAGTGGCTTGTTCAAGGTCACCATGTTGGGATTTGAAGTGGGTCTCAGGATGCCCTTTGCCCCTCTTCCCTGGGAGGCCAGTGGGGGCTGAGCCTCTGGTGTGTCCGCAGGTGAGGTGCCCATCCTGCAGCGGAGCCAAGCGCAAAGCCAAGCAGTCCCGCAGGTGTCAGATGTGCTCGGGGTCTGGCCGGCGGAGGTACGAGCAGGTCTCCCCAGCACCGAGGTGAAGGGGTCTCACTTACCAGCTTTCTTGCTCTTCATCGTCTGCCCTTCTGGAGGGCAGTCAGGTGCCCTGTCTTGTCACTCTTGTGCCCCAGAGAGCTGTGCCTAGCAGGTGCTCAGTAAATATTTGTAGAATGGGTGAGCTTTCCTCCAGGCTTGCTATTTTGAGATGAGACTAGAACTCATCCAGCCATCTATGGGTCAGATGTAAGGAATGAGGCACTGTGGAGAGGAAGGGAGGAAGGAGGGGAGACTTCTTCCTGCTCACATGGTGGGGAAATGAACACAGAAAACCAGATCTGTAGGTGAGATCTGGAACCCTCTGAGGATCAGGACCTAGGCAAACCCTTATTTATAACTCATTGCAGGGCTCGAGTGGAGGAGTCAAGGAAGGTTGGTTGACTGACTAAACATTCAACAAAGTTCCATCTCTGTTCACAGGGCTTTGCAAATACTGGGTCATTGCATTTTGTAAATCATGTCCTTAATGTATTTATAAATCTTTAAAGGGAAACAGGAAACCATGAGGAGTGAGACTATTCAAAGTTGTGTTGGTTAATGATACTTTTGGTTCATTGAGGCCCAGGCCATCCTTCTAAGAAGCCAGAGAGCAAAGCTTTGGCAGACCTGCCACCTGTGGTTGATAAAGAAGGTCTTTGATTTGGAAAGAAGCTCAGGTTTCTTTTGTTTACAAGTGAAAGAATCCGATTTCAAATGAGCTTAATAAAAAAAATTCTGCCCTTGTAACAGAAAAGTCCAGGATTATATTTCTGGAATGGCTTCAGGTTCCCCTGGATCCAGGTGCTTAAACAATGTCACCAGGACTCTGTCTCCATCCCTCACCCTGCTTTCCTTTGTGTTGGCTTCATTCTCAGGCAAGCTGTCTCTTGTGGTGACAGAGGGGACAACCAACAGCTCCAAGCTTAGTAGCCTCAGTTGAAAAGGATATCCCTTTGCTGATAGTTTCACAAAAAGTTCAAGGGCAGATCTCATTGCACTCACCAGGGTCGTGTACTCATCTTTGTGCCAGCCCCTGTGGCCGGACAGATGGAATAAGCTGATGGGCCAAGCCCAGGTCCCAAGCTGGTCATAGAAGGGGTGGGGGCAAGCCCACAATCCATGTGGTTAGAGTGGGAAAAGGGTGGTCTCCAAAGGGAAACTGGGGCATTGCCACCAGAAGCAGGAGGTCTAGACGGTGGGCAGGTGGAATCAATTGAAGCTCACCTTAGTCCACCTCTATGAGGAAGGATTTGGGGTGAGCCCTCGAGGAGCTGCCAGCACCCCCCCCCACCAACCCACGTGGTGCTGACCATGTGCCCCTCTCAGGTGCAGCACGTGCTCAGGGAGGGGCAACAAGACCTGTGCCACCTGCAAGGGGGAGAAGAAACTGTTGCACTTCATCCAGCTGGTCATCGTGTGGTATGTGGCAGTGTCTCAACGCTGTGGCCCAGTGGGGGTGGCCAGGGGATGTGGCCTGGACTGGTTTCTACAGAGAAACTCCACTTGGCTGGGGCTTTCACAGTGCAGGGACCTGTGCCGGAAGAAAAGGGCTTCAGGCGCCTTGGGGAGGGGAGAGGCCCCTGGGTCTGAAATCCCCGTGTCAGGTGTCAGGGGAGACCCCCAGGCATTATGGGGTTCTCCTGTGGGGCACTGCATGAAGCACTTCACAGGTGAGGACCGAATGAGGTAATAGAACAGAGCTGTCGGTACTTTACCGGTTTCCCATCGTACAGATGAGGATGCTAAGGAGCTTGCCCGAGGTCCCAGCGGTAGGAATGCAAGCCCTCCAGCCTGTGTTCTGCACCCCACGCACCGTGTACTCCATTCCTCACCCTCTCCACTTCCAGGAAAAACAGCCTGTTTGAGTTCATGTCTGAGCACCGACTGAATTGCCCTGGGGAGCTCCTTGCTAAAGCCAAAGGAGAAAGCCTCTTTAAGGATGAAAGCACCATGGTAAGGAGGGCTTCCAAGACCATCACAAGGGAACCCGGGTTCTCCCCTCACTCCTGTGAGGGCTGCTTCTCATGGAAAGACAGGCTGGGCGGGAACAGTGCTGCTGAGCAGGGGAGAACCTGCTGGGACCCGGGGGTGGGGGCAGTTCTCTCTCGAATTCCACATGCTCGACCCCTCCCTTCCTCCCTCCACACCCTGACACAAACCTTGAGACCCTCCTCTCATACTAGGCACTATTGTAGGCCCTGGGGATACCGTAAAACAAAACCCTTGCCCTCATAGATCTCATAGTCTGGTGAGGGAGAAGGTAATAATATTTCACCCCAATGTCAGATGGTGGTAAGGGTCACGGAAAACATGCAAGCAGGGAAAGAGACAGGAATGGGTGTGGGTTCAGCTGGGGGCTGGGAAGTGACACCAGGCAAAGACCCGAATAGTGCTGTGGGGGAGTGGACCCTGTGGGCTCTGGAGCCAAGGTGTCCAGCAGAGGGAGGCCTTGAGGAACAGCAGAGGGCAGTGGGACAGGAGGGATGTGAGCAAGGAGCTAAGACATGAGACGTGCCAGTGGTCCTTGGCCCTTGGCCTGCTTTTGTAAATAAAGTTTTATTGGAACACAGCCATGCCTGTTTGTTTACATATTGTCTGTGGCTGTTTTCCTGCTGCAAGGGCAGAGTCAAGTAGTTGAGACAGAGACCCTATGGCCTACAGAGCCTAAAATAGTTACTGTGTGGCCCTTTATAGAAGAAATTTGCCAACCTCTGCTGTAGGCCTTGGAAGGGAACTTGGCCAAGAAGCCTTGGACGTCTGAAAGGGCCTGTTTTCTCTAAGAGGGTCAGGTGCTCAGCCTCCTTTTTCTTTTCTCTCTCTCTCTCTCTTTTTTTTTTTTTTTTACAGTAAGTAGCCTTTTCAGATTGGCTTTCTTTCACTTTATAGTATGTATTTTTAAAAATTGAGGCATAATGGGCGCCTGGGTGGCTCAGTTGGTTAAACGACTGCCTTCGGCTCAGGTCATGATCCTGGAGTCCCGGGATCGAGTCCCACATGGGGCTCCCTGCTCAGCAGGGAGTCTGCTTCTTCCTCTGACCCTCCCCCCTCTCATGTGCGCTCTCTCTCTCTCTCATTCTCGCTCTCTCAAATAAATAAATAAAATCTTTAAAAAAAAATTGAGGCATAATAACATACATTATTTTCAGCTGTACAGCACAGTGATTCAATACTTGTATGTGTTGTGAAATGATCACCACAATGTCTAGTTAACATCCCTCGCCATACACTTACAATTTTTATTTTCTCATGATGAGAACTTTTAGGATCTAGACTCTGAGCAGCTTTCAAACATACAACACAGTACTATTAACTGCAGTCACCACGTTGTACATCAATCACATCCCTGGGAATTACTTATTTTATAACTATGTTTGTACCTTTTTACCCCCTTCTCCCATTTCATACCCTACAACCACCAATCTGTTTCTGAATCTATGAGTTTGTTTGTTTTTTAGATCCCACGTGTAAGTGAGATCATACAGTATTTGTCTTTCTCTGATTTATCTGCTTTAGCATAATGGCCTCAGTGTCCATCCATGTTGTCGAAACTGGCAAGGTTTCCTGCTTTTTTTATGTCGGAATAATAATCCTCAGCTTCCTTTCTTTGCCCCAGTCAGTCTGGCTCAGCTGGGGCATCGCCCCTCAGGAAGCCCCATCCCCCGCCCGAGTCAGGCAGCAGCAGAGGGGTGCTGGGTGAGAGAGTGGGCTGCAGGTGAAGGAGTGCTCGGTCCACAGCCCCCCTTTCTTGGTGCGTAATCAAAGGAGGTTAAATAATCCCCAACCCCTTGGGCCCTCCCCTGTCAGGGCTCATTTTCCCGCCCCTGTGAATCAGAGCTGCAAGACTCCAGGTGCTGACAGCCTCAGGCCAGCGAGGTGGGCTGCATCTCTCCTGCAGGTGTACCCCATTGTGGATTTCCCACTGCGGGAGATCTCTCTGGCCTCCCAGAGGGGCATTGCCGAGCACAGCGCCGCCCTGGCCTCCCGGGCCCGAGTCCTGCAGCAGGTGAGTGGGGTGGGGACTGGGGGCTGTTGGGAGGCTTCTGGGGCGGGACTAGGGCTCGGAGGGTGCTGGCCCTCTGGTCACATGAAGGAATGGCCGTTCCCTTTGCTGGAGGGAGGCCGTTCCCTTTGCTCCAGAGAAGGGAGGGAAGGCACCAGCTAGCGGAATGGTGGAGGAAAGGAGCCCTGGCTTAGGAAGGGGGGTGGGGTGGGGGGGGGAGTACTAGAGACTGACCAGAGGCCCATGTGTCCAGAGGGCAGAGAGCAGAGCAGTGTGGGGCCTCAGGGGCAGGCGGGACCACTGGACATAGAGATTAGGATGAGAGCAATGGGAAGCTATTTATTGTAGGGTTTCAAGCAGGACTGTGGCTCAGCGTGATTTTGACTCTAACCCCGTGGGTTAGAATCTTCAGAGAGGGAGAGGGAAAGTTCAAGACTCGGGGTCGTAGGCAAGTCTGGAACCCAGAGTCCTGCCCCTCAGGAGCACTTTCTGTCGTGGGCAGGGATGGCTTCAGGCCTAGTTGCTTTGGTGCTGTGTTGGGGTGGCCACTAGGTGGCGGTGGTGCCTGTTGCACCTTTGAGTGGTCATGGCAGCAGGGGGCGGGGGGCCGGGGGAGCTGGGGGTTTGGCCAGGGAATGGCCAGCGCCAGAGCTCCTGAGTCTTATAGACTGGGCTTAATTCCTGGTTTTCCTGTGTCTCAATGTGGTCCTGGGCCAGCTACTTCCTCCTCCCTGAAGTCCGATTTCTCACCAGTGTTTGTACCACCTTGGGTTTTGGTAGAGATGCAGTACTTTACTTTAAATGCCTGGAACCTGGTGCTCAAAATGTCCCTTTTCCCTCTGGTCCCTTTGCAATAAGTATTTCCCCTTCTCTCTCTGCACGCCTCCCCTGTCTGCAGGAGAGAGAAGGATGCACTTAATTAAAAAGTAATGATGACCATCTTGGAGCAGCAATGGGCCTCAGAAATCACGGATTTGGGGCACTGCAAACTCAAAGACCTGCCACCACGGGGTGGTGGTAACATGGGTGGGAGAGCCGCCTTATCCAAAGGGGTGGGCCACCACTCATCTTTGTGTAGGCAAAAGGGCAGCGGTTTCAGACCTTCTGAGACTCCAGATTTTTATATGGAACCTTCCAATTTTTCAATATTGAGAACAAAAATTTGAAAACGCTAGGAATACTACATGGGCTGACGGGTTGGGTCCAGCCTGTGGGCTGTCGTTGGCTACCCCTGCCTAGCCCCAACCCATGACGTTTCCAGTAAATCAGAGGAAGCTCGGGGAGTGGAAGTAATTTACCTAAAATCACACAGCTGCTTAGTGGAAGAGCCCAGGAGCAGAACCCACTTCCTAGCTTCAAGCCAAATGTTGCTACTCACTGTGTTCAGGATACACACACCACTCCTTGAAAGCCAGTGCAGGTTTACCGGGGTCTCCGCTGAGGGGGATCTGGGGCCAGACACACCGCAGGGACAGTTTCCGTCCCAGGTTGGCACCCGCTTGTCAGCTCTGGCACATGCTTGTGGCTCCAAGCCACGCTCTTCCTTCTTAGGGCCTCAGTGTCCTCATCTGTAGAATAAGCTGGGTTGGACGGTGCCTTAGGTTGGGGTCCGCAGAAGCAGCTTCGAGACGAGAGCTTGTGTGCAGGACATTTATGAAGAAAGGGCTCCCAGGAGAAACCCGTCAAGGAGGTGGGGGGCAGAGCCAGAGAGGCAGGGGTCACAGAAGGGCGCAGTGTGGTGAGGGTCGGGTCACTGCCCCATCCCACAGGAGCTCTGAGCACCAGTGACACCTCAGCGATGGTGTGCCTGGGCTGAGGAGGCTGGCCTCGTGTTGTTTGGTTGTGCTCTCTGTGTGCGAGGGGGGGTGTGTATCTCAAGGACAGGACCCTGCAGGAGAACGATGGGCTGTGAGTAGCAGAGAAGCAGCAGATGTGCAGGAATGTGCGTGAGACAAGAACAGCGTCCACGGAAGCCCCCAGAGCATCACCCCTGTGGGACTTTGCTCTTGCCTCACTAGTATTAAACGGCGTGGGTCACACGAAGAGCCCCCAACATTGGGGTATTGACTCCGGGAATGGGAAGAAGACAAGGGCCTGATTTTAGCAGCTTGCAGACACTGGCAGTTATTCTGGGATTCTTTTACTTCTGAGACCATCTGAGTTTGAGCCCTTGATTTGGCAGCTGGGGCAACTGAGGCTGAAGAGGGGAAGTGAGCTGCCTGAGACCCCACGGTGTGTCTGTGACAGGCCTGGATCGTCGGGGCCTCTCCCCTACAGGACAGTCCTGTCTTGGGCAACACAAACACCCTGTGAACCAGTCCGGAGCAGGGAAGGGTAAACAAGGGGCAGGTGGGCGGATTTTGTTAAAAGAGAGTGCCATGGGAGAAAAGGGCTCTTCTATGAATCTTTTTGGTCCTGCATTTGTAGACAAAGATGCATGCTGATATTTTGTTCAGGATTGAGAAGTTAGCGAGTGGAGTCAGCCTGAGCACACACCTGTCATGACACCATGCCTCCCCCGCAACCCCCATGGCTCTTAGACCTGGAAACTGCTCGTCCTGGAGGGTGACCAAGGTGTGCCAACAGATCCGTGGCCAATTACAAGGCAGCTGATGTCCTAACCAATCTGTAGCCTTTTGAATCAGAAGCAAATGGAGGCTGGAGGGGGTGGTATTATTGTCCCTTTTGATCCTGGTAGAAAAGGTCGGAAAGAATCCTGCTTGGGCCCAGGCACTCAGAGCAGTGATGTGGGCTCCCATCTTTTCTTGTCTCTTGGTGTCCATTTTGTGTCCTCCATAACAAAATATCAAAGAGGGGTCTTCTGCCTTTGATTTCCAAAATTATCACTTAGACACCACTTTCTGGCATACGGGAAGTCCCCGGATCTCATTTGGTGATCTCAGCAACTCTGTGGTATAGAAGCTTTTATCCCCATTTCCTAGAACAAGCAAGGGCAAAATCATGCAGGGACCTTCATGGAAGAGGCACTTCTTGACTCTGAGTCCCCTCTTCCTGCCACAATGTCACACTGCCCTTCAGCTGCCCCTCCCGTGCAGTGGGGAGCCTGCTTCTCAAAATCCCCTGCCCGGCTTGTTTCCCTTTCCTCGGTGGCCTCTGGACCATCACCTACCACAAGAGGACTTGGAACTGTTCCCAAGGAATGGAACTTCCTGAAGTTAGACCCTCAGAGGGTCTAATCCTGGGCTGTCCACACCATCTCCCTTTGGGCTTGGGGACCCCATAGATGTGAGTCTGGGACAAAGAAGCATCTTGTGCAGAAGAACTTTGGGGTTTTGATGCAGAGCCTGGACCACGGGGCGTGCCCAAGGAAGCTTAGCTTCAGCGATGGGGAGTAGCTTTCCTACGTCAGCTGTACGTAGCTGTCCCTAACACAGCAGCACCCGAAGCTGATGGAGGTGTGTGTTTCAGTAGGATGCCAGTGTTCTCCTCCTAAGGTGGTCTGCCGCATTCCATTCAGGGTCCCACAGTTTGGGCAGGTTGTAGAGTAACTGCTCAGAGAAGGGGTCGGAGCACGAGGGGCTTTAGGACCCCTCTGCTGGGGGCAGTGAGTGCCCCAGGCTCTTAGGTACAGGGTGGTGCTGGGAGGAGATCTGAGCATTAAACACACAGGGCTTGACCTGGATGGTCTTCCAAACCTGAAATTCCATGAGCCCACTGGCCTCAGTTTCTCCATTTCTAAAAGAGAGGGAGGGTTTGAGAAAGACCTCTCTCAAAGGAAGGTCAATGCAAGACCATGGTGAGGAAGGGAGAGTCCTGAGAAAAAAAAGGCTGAAGCGGACCACCAGATTTTGGAATTTCTTTGGTGTCATTGTTTTACCTTAAAATTTAATTCAAATTGTATAATTGACTCCCTAATATCTCCATGGCTGTATTAATATAGAAATGCTTAAAATGGCTTTATCTTCCACCTTTCTCTGCCCTTCCTCCCCATCTAAAAAGTAATGCTTCTGAAAGATGTCCCATTGGCTGGTAGCCTACCATACATCCTGGGACGCCCCTGGGGATGACTGTGCCCCCACTTTGTGAAACATATCATCAGATGGTGGCTAAAGCTGAGAAGTCCATTTGGATCAGAGCTTAGTGCGTGTGAAGGAGTGTAGTAGGAGACACACCTAGAAAGGCACATGGGAGCCATAATGCCAACTCCAGAGCGTGAACTTCATCTCCTAGGAAGTAAGGAGCTACTGAAGGTTCTTGAGCAGGCAAGTGACTTGAATAGAACACTGAAGTTTTTCTTGGCCAATTGTTTCCCTAGCGCCAGACCATCGAGCTGATCCCCCTCACAGAAGTGCATTACTGGTACCAAGGACAGACTTACGTCTATTACATCTACGGCACAGACCACAGAGTGTATGTGGTCGATTACCCCGAGCGGTACTGCTGTGGTTGTACCATTATCTGACGCGGCCCAGCCATCTCCGGAGCCAGGAGGACAAATGAGGTCCCAGAGTTTACTCGTCATTGGCTACATTGAACAATCCTTTACAAACTCCGGTGTGTCCTTCTAGACAATTCAGCTTATCATCTGTCAAGCCACAGGTCTTTCCAGAGTTCCTCTGGTGGGATCCGTCATGTGTTTAACCTATGAGAGTTCAGCTACACCCATTTTTTTGGAACAAATAATTTAAGCGGCTGGGGCCATGCCTCTGGTTTCCAAGCTAACGTCTTGCCCCGATGGAGCTTGTGGTTAGATTTTGCCTCTCCCTTGGCTTGTCTCTGTTCTGCTGTGCTGCTGCTAGTGTGAGCCATTTGCTAAGCCGAGCGTTACTCAGATGTGTAGAGCTATCCTACAAACTGGCTGCCTCTTAATGTGCACCACACAGTGCTCTTAGGCATCGGGAACAAAATTTACCCCCTCTTCTGTGGGCTAGGAATTCAGACGCAGACACAGTGGAGGTGGTTTATCTCTGCTCTGTGATGTCTGGGGTCTCACCTGGGAGATGTGAAGGCTGGGGTGGCTCAAGAGCAGGGGGCTCAGATCATCGGAAGGCTGGTTCACCCAGAGGTCTGGCCGTGGATGGTGGCTGTCAGCTGGGACACCTACAGGCCACGTCTCCGTGCGGCCTGGGCTTCCTCACCATGTGGCACCTCTCGGGGTAAGCAGCCGTCATGCACACCCCAATTGAAGAAATAGAGATCTGTTTCCAAGCTGGAGAACAAAGCTGCCGTGTTGGATAAACTGCAGGTCTATGCGCTGGTCTCTAACACGGTGCATGTGCAGGGGTAGGTTTTGGAGAGTGATTCTGGAGCTATGTCGATTCTTACATCACCTGCCGACCTTAGAACCTGCTCATTAGTAGGACCTGAACTGGGTGTCCTGTGCACCCAGTCGTGTGCATGAACTCCCACTTTGTGCAGCAAGGCTGGGTGGGTGCAGGGGATGCCCAGTCTGCTTTGGGGGCCAGCTGGGCCACTGTGCACCTGGTTGGGGGTAACCAGAGGCCCCTGTCATCTTATTCCATCTGCACCCCACCCGGAAGGGGACTGCTACACACTGAGAGGGCCAGGCTATGCCCCCTTGTTCCCCAAGCTCTTGCTGGCCCGCAGCCCCTGTCCCCCTTGGTTTGGGAGGATGTGGACATAACAGGCCTTGCTGAGGGAAGCTTGGGAAGTCTGAGGCCACCCTCCAGGGCATTGTTGACAAATGATATGCAAATGAGCACTCGCACCCTCACCTGCTACACCCCTGCCCCAGGATTCCCCATATCCCATTCGGTTGCTGCTGTACCCCCGAGTCTGGCTGAACTACTGGTGGGGTCTTGCTTACAAGAGCATCAGCATTCGGAGGGGTGTCCTGCTCCCTTGGGGCTGCATGGAAGATAAGGGAAATTGAGAAGCAAAGGGATGTGAACCAGGAGGCTGAGTCACCTGGTCCTGGCCAACCTTCCAGGCTCAGACTTTGCCTCCCACGCCGGCTGACCCTAGCAATGCCACACGCTCTGCATGTGAGGGAGGCTGAGGGTGGGATGAGGTTCATCCTTGCCTTGCCCGGCTCTCTGGCACCTGGGGACGGAGCCTGGTGGTGGCAGGGGAGACAGAGAGAGAATACTACGAGACTCCCTTCCTCCGCTTCCTCCCGGAGCTCTGCAGTGCTCAAGTCTGGGAGGCCAGCACTTCCGACCCTGGTGTCTCTACAGCCCACCTCTGTGGGGCTCACCCGGGATGCTGCTGCCCCCTGGGGGCGGGCAGGGTTTTGGGTTGTTGCAGTGCCTGGAAGTGACACTGCTGGCATTTGGTGGACAGAGAACAGGAAAGCTAGCTGGCTACCACTCTGCACAGTGAAGCCTGTTTCACATCTTCCACGACTCGCAGATCCGCCGCTGACCTTCACCGAGAACTTCATTACCCAGAACCTCAGCAGGGACTGCTGACTGCAGTGCTCACCCTCACTTACCGGTCAGCTCTGCTCTTTGATTTTCCCGTATGGTTAGGAATCGCTCCGGGCCTCTCACTTCCTGAAGTCCAAACTTGGAACTCCCTGACGACTTCCTTACAGCCCCTCACGCCGTTCTGCTTGAGCGTCACAACCGGAAATACGTGCAGTAAAATGTTACTTTCTTCTCATTTCTCTGTTCTCTTTCCACTTGGGCATTAAACTGCTTTTGTGTTTGTTGTTTTTTAAAAACATGGTATGTAAGTGGACTAGACCCGAGTGTCATTTTGGGATAAAAAAAAAAAAAAGGAACCTCAAGTACGGTAAGGTTGTGGCCTGGTGACCTGTACTTGCTCTTGATGTGTGAACACAGAAAATCCAGCGGGAATAAAGTGGGGCCAAAGGGACACTGTTCCTGTTCAGCACCAGGGGTTCACTAGCCCCAGGGCCCTTAGTCCCCTTGGTTCTGGCAGAAGTCCCAAATAAATCCCGGATCCTCCAGCCGTTTCATAACTCTTGCGTGTTTTTCCCTGTAGTGTAACCTATTTTTATGGCCTTCGCTGCAGCCAGGATATGACTTAATTTTCTATTTCTGCCTCTTTCTGTAATCCCAGGGCTGAGTTGGCTGGTAGTGTGTAGGCCTAAACCTAGTTGAAGTCACTGGGGGATAGAGAGTAGAACACAGGACAGCCCTGACCCCAACACTGGCCACCACGGCCTGTGGCTCTGGTCTAAATTCTATTTCATTTTAAAAGAACATTGGACTCCAGTGATTTGCTTTTTCTTCTTCTTCTTCTTCTTTTTTAAAGATTTTATTTATTTATTTGACAGAGAAAGACACAGCGAGAGAGGGAACACAAGCAGGGGGAGTGGGAGAGGGAGAAGCAGGCTTCCTGCAGAGCAGAGAGTCCGATGTGGGGCTGGATCCCAGGACCCTGGGACCACGACCCAAGCTGAAGGCAGATGCTTAAGGACTGAGCCACCCAGGCACCCCTGATTTGTTTTGTCTTTACTGCTCTGCCAAAGGAGAACACTAGTCACTGATGGTTAGTCGGCCAGGTGGCCAGAACCATGCTGGGCTTTGTGAGGGTTTCACAGAGATTGGCAGACTCTGCCCTAAGACTACAGGATGGATGGTAGGAGACAATGTATGCAGAGGGAAATGTAAGCATGGACGTGAGAGTCAGGTAGCTTTAGAAGGTGAGGATACCTAAGACCCAAGTAGTGATTACAGGTGACGGAGACTCAAATTGACTTCAGCAGGAAAGGTCATTGATTAGTTCTTATCCCTTAATAAAGTTCATCAGCTTCAGGTACAGCTGGATCCAGGGATTTGAAGGATTTCATTCCAACGTGGTCTTCCCGGCCCTCCCGCCCTCTACCTTTCCTATCTGCTTTTCTCCCCTTTCCTTTTGTTCTCAGGCAAGCTTTCCCTACCTTGGCAATAAGACAGCTACCAGCATCCTGGAATTTCATCATAGGAATTCAGTAACCCCTTCGCAAGCTAACTGGCCAAAGAAACTCCCACAGAGATCCCAGGGAGGGTTCTCAGTGGCTCATTTTGGGTCACATGCCCGTCCTTGAACCAATCACTGACCAGTGAATGCAGTGACTCAGTAGGCCAGCCTAGGTCACATGGTACCCCTCCCCTCCAGTTGGGCTCAGCCTGGGGCTATCAGAAAGGGCCCTGGAAGCTGGGCACCTGCCCATTAGAGGTACAGACAGAAAGTGCTGAGTTTATCTAGGGATGGTGTTCAGGAGTTTTCTGTGTACTTTGCCCCAAATGACATCTTAAGCCAGAGAGGCAAGACTGGGGCTAGGTCCTTTCCCTGCCTCAGCCCTGCCCCTCCCTCCCTGTGTTTGCTGGGATTGTAGGGCTGCTACACCTCTACAGTTTGGCTATTAAAATAACAATTTGGACTGATCTTGGTCTCAGGCGAGGCATAACGGCCCTGGAATAAGAGAGGGTATATGTGTGCTTGTGTGTGCATGGGGGAGTGTGCACATGCGTATGTGGATGTGTGTGTGTGTGTGTGTGTGTGTGTGTGTGTTTGCCAGATGGGGAGGACACTGCTTAGAAGGCAGGAGGGACTTCCTCACCCGACCTGGTTTTCCTCCCTTCACTCCAGGTCCCTGTCATTTCTCTGGAGTTCCCAGGACCTGGCCTTCATCACGTGGTTAGCTTGTTGAACCCACCAGCCAACTTCAATTTCTAGGTCATGTGCAGCCTTGATATGGAGACTGATGAGAGAACCGTTTCCTTCACAGTCAGGACAGACAGCCCAAGTGGAGTTCTGTTGCTCAGCAGCAGCAGAGACCCTTCTGTCTGCAGTGGCTTGGACCCTGCCGGCTCCCGGCAAAGTTCCAGGCGCCATCTGCGCACACTGAGGGCTCAGGGATCCAGGAGAGGGCGTGGGTTTGGGGTCATCTACCTCCCAGATGGAACTCCCGCCCTGCCTGTTATCAGCCATGGGACACAGCCATTCCACTCACCTGGCAGAGCCTGCTTCCTTACCTGGGAGAAGGGGATGCCACTGGCTTGGCAGGGTGGGTTGGAAAGGGACGAGATGTGCCAAGCTCAGTGCCAGGGAGGGGCTGTGTCCTGCCTGAAGGAAACGCCTTTGGGGGGGCAGTACTTGAGCGGTTGTCCCAGGGCCTCTCTGGGTGACGATGAGCCAAGCCTCGGGTGCCACAGTGACTGTGAGAGCTCTCTTTCCCGCCAGACCCCCCTTTCTTCATCCTGCAGCTCAGCTCATCCATCCCTACCCCAGAGGTGTTTCTCCTCACCCTCAGCTTGGGCCAGATCCGGCCGCCCCTCCTCAGAGCTGGGATCTCAGCAGAAATCACAGGTGTATTTTTTCCGTGATTTGACTTGTATCTATCCCCACACTGGTCCACCCACCGGTCCCACGGCAGGACTGGGTGTTGCTCATCACTCGGTTACCCGCAGGAATATGCTCTTAGTAAATACTACCAAGTGTGACTCAGTGACTGAATGAAGGTTCAGGATATGGATGTAACGCAAAGAA